GTAATAAGATATGAAATATATGTCTGAAACATATATTATGTTTCAAGATATACACAATAACAATCTGAAAAAAGTTATTCTACATTCCAAGTTGTTATTCATCGAAGACTGACATCAGTTGGAGGAACAAAGGAAACCTGGGAGCACTGGACAGCTGTTTCGTCCGACTAGTATGGGACTCCTCAGCAGTGCGCACCCACAACCCCACCAGCAGGGATCGAACCCGCGACCTTCAGGTTCCGCGACCAGCGCGTTACCATTGAGCCACTGGGTTTCCTTTGTTCCTCCAACTGATGTCAGTCTTCGATGAATAACAACTTGAAATAATTCCAAATCTCCACAACCCCTCAAAATTTATTCTTTATTCATTTGCCAGTTTATTAAAATATCGAAATTCAAAAATTAGTTATCCGTTTTTGCAAAGATACATTTATGTTGATCAGTATGCATTGAAGAATCATTCTTGTGTAGAGAATAACTCGCAAAAAGTAGAAATCTGTATTAATACAGTGTTTGTACAATAATCTATTTACTTTTATCCCAAAAATACCAAGATATTTTTTCCTCTCATAGGTGAGATATTTCTGTTCAAATGATTTGCAATTATAACTTGAGTAATAGTGACCTAACCGTATACATTTATAATATTTGTCTATAAATGTTGTCCAGTACGGTTAGGGATCACGATAATCACCAGTATTATAACCTCCACGTTTCAACTGAACTATAAAATGTTTTTTGTATTGATCAAATATAAACTATTCACTATCATAAAATAGATGTGCTTCCCTAATTCAGTATGTAACTGTCTACTCATATGTTATTTTGTTAATTACATATCATTGTGAAACACTTGATGTTCGAAAAGCTACAAGTGTTTTCTAACTATCTGATAAACATTTCCTTCGAATTGTTAAACTTTGTAATACTGCTATGAATAACTGTTGTTAATGATGAAAAAAGTGAAGGCCATTGAGATAAACTAGTGATAAGCGAATATTATTATTATTATTTGTCCCTTGGGTTCCTAATGAAACATACGGCTTCAGTAGCACTTCTCCAATACTCTCTGTTTTCTGAAATCTTTTGAACCTGTGTCCACGACAGCCCACAAGCCCTCATTTCCTCCTCACACCATCTCCTCCATATCACCCTCACCTCGAACAACCAACTCGTCGCTTCCCATCTGGGTTAAACTCGACTGTCTCGCCTGACTCGTGATGTCCCCAGTCGGCCTTCTCACTGTATGCCAAACCCAACCTAATGCATCTCCACTTCCTTCCAGTGCATATTTATTGAGCGATGGGTTCCTGCTTCGTTGATTTGTCACCAGCAAGCCAGCCAGAGTTCCTTCTTGCTTATTCTCACTGTTCTTGCCATCCATCTGATCTTCATTATGGAGCCAGTGTAGGCAGTTGTTGATGAATGTGTGTAGTTTGTTGGAAATCCCTTTCGTAATGCGCCCAGTCTCTGAACCACCACATAGAAGCACTGACTTGACTGTCATTGGTGTTGTTCATGCTTTATGCTCAGTGTAGAAGATTTCCACACTGTTTTCAGGTTAATGAACACCTGTCTTGCTGTCTTTCTGATCCTGACTTGCTTTGACATCCTCGTCTGTGCCTGTGTTGCCTGTAGTTGAAATAGTGCTGACTAGATAGGTGTAGGTGAAAGAGAGTACTTGCTTTAAGTTTCTGCCGTTGATGGTGATTGGAGCTTTCTGTTGTTGGTGGTGTTGGTTGGGTATCTTCATGTCACCTCTGTCTTCTCTATATTCACTTGAAGTCCCGGATTAGGGAATAGAAACTACGAAACTAACATTCCAAATGTAAGAAAGGAGGTCTCAAACATTTGTGGATTTGAATTTTTGGTGATGTAGAATTTATTTTTCTGTGAGGGATGAAGGAGTAAGTTATCGAAGTATATACCGTTCGGTTGATACAACTGTCATATACAAGTTGGGTGGGATAAGATTGCCAATTAAAAGTTTGTACATTATTTTACGGTAACCAAAGTGAATGATTTGATGAGGAAATTATGCACAAAATAACAAAAATACTGTTTAAAAATTAAATTGGGAATTTGGTTAATTGGTAGGTTGCATAATAATCAGTAAGAAGAATAGATTGTCAATGAGTGGTCAATTGTTGACTCCAAGGATACGAGAATAGTAAAATACAAAGGAGTAAGAATTTATCCAAATAGATTATAGGAAAATATCAATTACATATTGCCTGTAAGTGTTAAATAAGTGTAAATATTATTATCAAAGTAAGTGTATAGCTTGTAATAAACCTCTTTCTTTGCACTGATTTCAGCTGTTTAAAACGAAAGTCAAAAGTTTCTACCAAACACGAAAAAAGCATTCCTATAAAATGGGTTAGATTAGATTCGATGGAGTATATCGATTTCAGTTAATCATCTACAATAAGTTATTTCCCAGTACCAAACCAACTTTTAGATATAAACCTTTTGTTTTGTTTGTCTTTTAATTGAACGTTATGAAATGGTCTTGAAAATAAGAAGATAAACCTACCCAGTGGTTTATTCAGTATGTCTAACTCCAAAGAAACAGTTTCATTAGTCAATGTATATAAAGTAAAGAATTTTAAGAAACTTGTCTTAATTTCTTGAACTTAATATTAGTCGAAAGAAAGTAGACAGCATGAAGTTTCTTAGAAGTTATCCTTACAGTATCTTTATGTTTGTAAAAGTTAGCATGTCTGGATAAACATTTCATTAGATAACAATTTCTTGTTTAAAAAAAGGAAACTCAGCAGCTCATTTTGTTTTCCAATAAACTTTGTCTTTTGATCTTCATCTAAATTTATTTTCATTGATATACCTGAAAAAGTCACATAAGTGTTTAGTTCTTCCTTTTTTTTGTTTGTTAAGAAATTTTGATTGATGAACTTTTGAACTTGAGGATTAAAAGTTGATTTGTATAGATTTAATAAGTTGAACATTGAGCAAATGATTTGTGAAACATATATATATTAATGGAAATCTTTTAACTTGATGTAATACATCGATTGGATTGGTATCATTTATACATTGGCAACTGAATTCTAAATCAGTTATTATTTCTTCTAGAAGATCATTTTGAAATATGATTTTAAACCCTGATGATAATAAATAAAAGGAAAATTTATTGTACTCTTTTGAGGAAGAAGGTTTTATGATAATGTAAAAATTATGCTTTTCAAGTTATTATATATATATATATATATATATATATATATATATATATATATTAAGTGACTACATTCCAAATCCTACTTTTCAATTAAGGTATAATAGTGAGGGGGACTATGCATTCAGAGATATGAGAATTTTCTTATTTGTCAACTAATTCAAAAGTATTTTTCATAACATAGTTGAAAGTATCCATTTAAAATTGTTATAACATTTGTATTGCTTATATTTTACCATTCAGTGGTACTTTGAGTTCGATATATATTAAAGACTATTTGAAATATCTATCCTGGTTGGTTTATCTTAAAGCTTATTTCTGTTGGATTCAATTTGCCAGTATGTTTGAAGGTTTCGTTCTCATCGTAAATTAATAGTATATTAATTCAACCTGGTTAAAATTAGTTGCCTGAATACAGTAATCTTCATCCATGAAACAGTAGACAATAGGTTCTAAAGTAATTGCATCTTATCTTAATTATTATTATTATTAGTCCTTTGGGTTCCTAGTGGAACATAGGGCTTCAGTAGCACGTCTCCAGTTAACTCTGTTCTCTGAGATCTGTTGAACCTGGTTCCACCACAGCCCACAACCTCTCATTTCCTCCTCGCACCATCTCCTCCATGTCACCCTTGCCTCGGACAACCAGCTCGTCGCTTCCCATCAGGATTCCACTTGAGAGTCTGGCCTGACGCGTGATGTCTCCAGTCGGCCTTCTCAGTATATGCCCAATCCACCTCCACTTCCTTCCAGTGCATATTTGTTGGGTGATAGGTTCTTGGTTGGTTCGTTCCCAGAGCTCCTTGTTGCTTATTCTTATTATTCTGGCCATCTGATCTTCAGTAGCGAGCGTAAGCAGTTGTTGATGAGTGTCTGTAGTTTATTGGAAATCCCTTTCGTGACGCGCCAAGTTTCTGAACCATACAGAAGCACTGAGTTGACGTTGGTGTTGAAAATCCAGATATTGTTCCACATGCTGAGTGCAGAAGATCTCCACACTGTTTTCAGGCTAGTGAACGCCTGTCTTGCTGTATTTCCGATTCTAACTTTGACATCCTCGTCTGTGCCTGTGTTGCTCGTAGTTGAAACAGTGCTGCCTAGATAGGTGAAGGAGGTTACTTCCTTTAAGTTTCTCCTGTTGATGGTGACTGGAGTTTGTTGTTGTTGTTGTTGGAGTTGTTGGTGCGGTATCTTCATCACTTCTGTCTTCTCTATATTCACTTGAAGTCCCATCTTCGCTGCCTCCTCTATCAACTTGTTAGTTTTTGCCTGCAGATCTTCAAGTTTATGTGACATCAGGCACAAGTCATCGGCGAAATCCAAGTCTTCTGGGTTCTTTTCCGCAGCCCAGCCACTGTATCCCCCTCTTCTCACAGCTCCCCACTGTTTGCTGTATGATCCAGTTGACCACAATCAGGAATATCATGGGTGATAGTAGTTGGCAGCCTTATTTCACTCCTGTCTTCACTTCACTTCAAAAGCATCACTGAGCTTCCCATTGTGAATTACCTGGCATGTGGCATCTTCATATAGTTGTTGAATGAGGTTGATAAATGTTTGTGGTATTCCGTGGTATTGAAGCAGTTTCCAAATTACTTCTCGGTCGACGCTGTCAAAGGCCTTTTCAAAGTCGATAAAGTTGAGGTAGAGAGCTGATTGCCATTCTATGCTCTGTTCTATGATGATGCGAAGCGTTGCAATTTGGTCCGCACATGATTTGTACTTCGTGAAGCCAATTACATCTTATCTTAATAAATACTCATTTTTATACATTATAATTACTATTTTTTTTTTGTGTTTTCAACAGCTACCTATAAAAAACGTGACGAAAGTAAAATTTCATATTCTGAACCAACTTCATACAATCAACAACCATTACAATCTCAATCTGGTGTCCGTTTTGTACAAAAAAATGAAAATTCAACTGAATTAGCTAGTTCAGATACGGCTAAAAGCTATTTCCCTTTAAAAGAAGATCATATTCAGAATCAGTTGAAATCTTCCACTATTGGTGATAAAAGTAGACATACAAGTGAAAACATCAAAGACGAAGTTGATGACGAGAAGAAAATGAGTATTGATTACAAAAGTGACAGTTCAGAAACAAAGAAGTTTGATAAAAAGGAAGTCAACATCAGTCGATTAGGACGTTGCCGTCAGAAATGTAGAAATAAATGTGCAGCATGTCTTAAACGTATCAAATTACCTCCATGGTTAGCTAGATTTTTTTTATGGATTTATACTCATACCAGTGGTGTATTTACATATTCACTTTTCATACTGGCAGTTTATGCGTGTATTATATCTGTGAAAGCAAGTATTGCCTTACCTCCACAATGTAGACTAATATCTGTAATTAAAAGAGCTGAAACATCTCGAAATCATTCAAACAATAATGCTCAATTCTCAGGGACTGATCGTGTAGAAGCACTTGAATGTCGTCGTGGTGAAGCATTGAGTGTACTTATTTTCTATGGTTTTGGATTCATGTTTGGAGAAATAATGGAATTTTTGCATTTACCAGGATTGCTAGGTATGTTAAAATTTATAGTGGATTTGAATAATGAAAGTGATTTTGTGTATAGTAAATAATTTTTCAAATTTGTGAATTCATTTCATACTTATGAAACGGTTATTATTTTTATTTGCCCCTTAGATTCCTAGTGGAACATAGGGTTTCAGTAGCATGCCTCTATTGCACTGTCTTCTCTGCACTCTATTCGACCTCGCTCCACCACTTCCCACAACCTTTCATTTCTTCCTCACATCATCTCCTCCATGTCACCCTCACCTCGAACAACCAATTCGTCGTTTCCCCTTTAGATTCCACTCGAGGGCCTAGCCTGGTGCGTGGTGTCCTCAACCGGTCTTCTCAGTGTATGCCCAATCCAATCCATCTCCACTTCCTTCCAGTGCATATCCGCTCGTTGCCTTCCAGCCAGAGTTCTTTGTTACTTATTCATTTTGGCCATTCGATCGATCTTCGGTATCGAATGAGCGTGCGTGGCAGTTGTTGACGAATATCTGTAGTGTGTTGGAAATCCCTTTCTTAATGCATCAAGCCTCTCGAACATCACATAGAAGCACTGACTTGACTGGCATTGATGTTGTGAATCCGGATGTCGTTCATGTTTTATGCTGCGTACAGATCTCCACACTGGTTTCAGGTTAATGAAGGTCTGTCATGCTGTCTTACCGATTCTGGTTTCGACATCCTCGTCTGTGCCTGTGTTGCCTGTAGTTGAAACAGTGCTGCCTAGATAGGTGAAAGAGTTTCTCCTGTTGATGATGACTGGGGTTTATTGTTGTTGTTGGTGTTGGTTGGGTATCTTCATCACCTGTATTTTCTCTACGCTCACTTGAAGTGCCGTCTTCGCTGCCCTACCTCTTCTGTCAACGTGAGGGTTAGAACATCCAGACCTTAGGAAACTTAAGAGAAGCCTGTTTGAAATCCTTCTTGTTTGGTCGAATGTTAAGATAATACTGTGTCCTCATGCTGATGAAAGTTTAATAGTCACTAGTTTTAGTGCTGTATTTTTGTCAGACAAACGTGCGTTTTTTTTGCCGAACGATATAATAATTGAGATAATTCACCTAGGATTTAGTATTAACAAGACTATAAGTTCTAATTTCTGAAGCAGCATGATGTTTTCTCATAAATATACCTTTATAGTTAGTTTTCGTCAATATTGAAGAAACTTAATATGAACAAGTTTAAGTTATAGTGAACAATATTATCATACAGTACACTACTGGTAAGTGAAACAATGAACCTAATTCGATGAGTATGTTGTAATATGATTAAAGCATGTTTAAAAAAATGAACGTTTTTCTGAATATAGTTTGAACTTTTGACAAGGTTTGATTATCTCTATAATATATAGAATATACCTATATAAATTAATACTTTATTAAAACAATATTATGTTATAGAATTCTGTATGTACCTGAAATTTTTGTACATTAACATTTATATGTTTAAAGTTTATTGTAAAATATATAGTTTATTTTATATTTTAATAATTCCTACCTGATTCATTATCATTGACTATTTGTCAGTAATTCAATGTTATATACATTTATAAATGGAAAGAAAAATGTTGGAATTAGTACAACATTGAATAAATCAAGTAGAGTTATAAAAAAAGCATCATTAATGTTTGTTTGTTTTTTTGGCCTATTTTGTTAGATGGTGAATAGTTAAGATAAATAGCAGGTTGTAAAGACATCTATATTTCATAGAAGACTATCATAACTTTATATTCTTTTTTTTTTATAATGCATAACTAAACAAATAAAACTAATTTGGAAATATTTCAAGTTGTTATTCATCGAAGACTGACATCAGTTGGAGGAACAAAGGAAACCTGAGAGCACTGGACAGCTGTTTCGTCCAACTAGTATGGGACTCCTCAGCAGTGTGCACCCACCACCCCACACCACCACCGATCCAACTCGCAACCTTCAGGTTCCACGGCCAGCGCCTTACCATTGAGCTAGCCACTGGGTCACAATCCAATGCTCCATATTTCCAACTTCTCTTAGCTCACGATATAGCGCAACCGCCACCCAATGTCATCGTTGAGTATTTGTCCTCACGGCCATCAGTCTTTGACTCCACCGGTCACGACCTGTCATTGGAACTTCGGGAATACTTCTCGAAGCTAGTCACCGATGAGCACCAGTTGAATTGAATTTTGAGGGAGTTGTGGAGATTTGGAAATATTTCAAGTTGTTATTCATCGAAGACTGACATCAGTTTCATGTAATCTGTAAAGATAGAACATTCTCACATTCTATTTACATTAGATAAGATCTGTTAGCGCTAATTCGACTCTTCAAATAAGTGAAGTAGTGAAGCACTACACTTTCTCGATATGTACATCAACGACAGAATTAAATTAGAAAGGAGAGAGTAAACATCGTTGACGGGATACAGTCAACGTACATAGTGTTAACCTGAAAACAAGTGACCTTATGATACTTAAATCTTTATGAAACCTGAACATCTAGGATTTGATGTCAAGTGAAATCAAAAGGTGGAACATATCGAATCTCTAGTTTGAAATAAGCATACATGCAGTATTGAATATTCGGTAACATTTTAATTAAAAGTACCTGTAATTATATATTTATAAGAATGAGGATAGAATATATCTTCAATCTAACTGATAATTTTTCTGTATTATTCAGGTGAGAGATGTCTGATTGTTTAACTATTCACATATTCTTTTTTAAGAAAAGCATCAGTATAAAATAAGGAGCTTGTTTTGTTTCATTAAATTGTAGTTGTTACTTTGTCCTGTGCATTTATTGATAATTATTATTTGTGCTGCATTCTATACAATTAACAAATTTTATTGTTTCCTCGGAAAATCGTATATTACCATGTGAAAAGTATATTTCTTCGGTTTATTGATGCTTCAAAATGTTTATGCAATATATTTTAGTTCCCTAATTAGTTTAAAAAAGGCTAAATTATTTCGTAACATTATTGTTATTAATTTTTCTTTGGATTCCTAATGCACCAAAAGACTTCAGCGGCACGCCTCCATTACACTCTCTTCTATGCAGTGTTTTCAGCCTCGCTCCACTACTGCCCACAACCTTTCGTTTCTTCCTCACATGATCTCCTCCATATTACCCTCACCTCAGACAACCAACTCGTCGTTTCCTATTTGGATTCCACTCGAATGTCTGGCCTGGCGCGTAATGTCTTCAGTCGGCCTTCTCAGTGTATGCCCAATCCAATCCATCTCCACTTTCTTCTCCTGCATATTTGTTTGGCAGTGGGTTCCTCACTCGTTGGTTCGTCACCAGCAAGCCAGTCAGAGTTCCTTGGTGCTTATTCTTTCCGGCCAACTGATCTTCAGTATCGAGCCAGTGTAGGCAGGTGTTGATGATGTATGTGTGTAGTTTGTTGGAAATGCTTTTCGTGACAAGCTAAATTTCTGAAGCATATAGCAGCACTAACTTGACTGTCATTGGTATTGAAAATCTGGATCTTGTTCTTTGTGCTGAGTACACTTGTCAGTGTGTCACAGAAGTGTCTTTTATCTTTGTGCACACTCTTCTTCAATTCTTTGTCCAGTGTAGTGTTTTATACGTTGTACTCAGTTCTTCTTTCCGTTGTGCATCCTTGCACTGGTTCATCTTCTGCCTCACCATCTTCCTCTCCTTCCTCGATAAGATTTCATATGTCCATCGAGATCCATTCCTCGTCTTGCCTCCTCTTCTTTCCTAATATAGTTATCGAGGTTTCTATTCCACATAGCTTTCAAAGAGTTCCAGTGTTCTTCCACGATGATTTTGTTGGTTTATCAGGCAATTAGAAGATTAAAACTTGATAAAAACAATAATTCACCTAAATATATTCAATAATAATACTGGCTCATTTATATCATATGCTAAATCACTAGTATAATGAATTCTTTATTCTATTTAATAACTTACTTTACCATGATCTTTTCTCTTCTGAGTGTTCTATAGACGTTCGCCAATTTTAATTTCATATATATTCAAGTTGAGTAGAATTAAATCTATCCAAACTGATTCTATAATATGTTACACATATGTATTAATTACTCTGAACAAAACGTTTAACAATTTTGAACCAAATTAATGTGTCTTTATCTCCATTTCTCAGAGTAAATAATCGGAAAGTTATTTATCAAAAATGAGACTAAATAACCTAATCTTAAAAAATTCATTACGATTTATACAATTGCAAAAATTATAAAAATCTTCTTTAAAACGACTAACAATAATTTTTTCTTTTATTTCAAGAGCATTAAAATTTCTTTTATATGATGCAAACAATTTTTGAATAAGGTCAGATAAAGATCAAATACTGATTTTAATCATCATTTCAGTAAACATAAAAATTTCTAGTTGTTATTCATCGTAGACTGACATCAGTTGGAGGAACAAAGGAAACCTGGGAGCACTGGACAGCTGTTCCATCCGACTAGTATGGGACTCCTCAGCAGTGCGAAACAGCTGTCCAGTGCTCCCAGGTTTCCTTTGTTCCTCCAACTGATGTCAGTCTACGATGAATAACAACTTGAAATATTTCCATATCTCCACAATCCCCTCAAAATTTAATTGAACTGGTGCTCATTGGTGACTAGCTTCGAGAAGTATTCTCGAAGTTCCAATGACAAGTCGTGACCGATGGAGTCAAAGCCTGATGGCCGTGAGGATAAAAATTTCTGTCAATAATGGTGTATTTTGGAACAGAATCCAAGGTAATCAGTTGACATTTAGTTACTCATTTTTTTTTACTGAAAGTAAAACTTTTGATTTTATTTAGGAATATGAAGGAAATAATAAAAGAATAAATGTTATAATGGTTCATCTGAATTCTAAAATGAATACGAATGTGAAGTTTGTATTAACTAATTAAAATGGTTATAATTTAAAAGACTGTTACTTCGAATGGATACTAAAATTAGCTTGATATTCTGACCTTAGCATTGAGTGGATGCTTATGAAAAAAACCAGTTTAATAAATTGATTCATTTTGAAGACACT